AAATATAACTGCTCATTTTAAATCTACACTTTGACTTTTAATACTTAACTACAACAAATATCAGATACTTTAAGACTTTTACTCAAGTAATATTCCTAAAGGAGACTTTAACTTTTACTAAAGTAATCTTTTAGTAAGATACTTGTACTTTTATTCAAGTATTACTTTGTGGTACTTTACACAACACTGACATCATCACATTTCCCATTAAAGAGTTTAATATTGTTATAGCTTCAATCTCTGCTGGTGTAATTATGTTATTTAAAAATATAAGACAGAATCCAAACTTATTACTTTTTGATCCAAACAAACTCGAAACTGGTTAAATTAGTTTTTCCTCTGTACATAATAACAACAGTCGTATACACTTGTTACTTCAGAAAGATGTTGTGTCTACTCCATGTGCAGTATGTTATTGGAACACCTGGAAAAACATTTGGACTTTACCAACTAAATATATGATAAATACTACGGTAAGAGAAGTATCTTTTAAAGTTATTCGTAGAATTTACCCATCTAAAATATTTTTGCAACGTTTTAAAAAAGATATAAATGTAATGTGCTCTTTCTGTGGAGGTCACCCTGAGGATGATCATCACTTGTTTTGGTTTTGCTCCCTCTCTCCTCAGTTATATGTTCTGATCTCTACTTCTGTTAAGCCACATTTTTTCCTTTGCTTTGAACATATATTGTTTGGCTTCACTGACCAAAGGAAAAAAAATCAATCTTATTATATATTTAGCCAAATGGCATATTTATAAATGCCGCTACACTAATCAAAAACCTCTTCTTTCTATTTTCTTAAAGTCAAACAATATATTAAAACTATCAGATATTCTATAAATATGAAAGCTGTTAAAACTTGTGCCTTATGTGATCTTTAAATCATTGTCTCTATGCTTGTAACCCACTGGCCAATGTTATATTGTGTTTTATATTGTTCTAATAAAAATAAATAAATAGGTCAGAAAGGTGGCTGACCTGGCAGTCCCACTTTAGGATGGATCAACACCTCCAGGGTTGCTCTGTCGTAGATTTCCTTACTGACTTTGACCTCAGCAGGTCCGTACRCTCCGGCCATCACACTCGTATCACCTCCAGACAGAAAGAGACAATCAAATATTAATTTACTCATCACAACAACAACATCTCAGCAGACTGAGAGGTGCTCTGTTAGAAACATGTTTGAGCAGAAACGTTGGGACAAACTCCATTATTAGAAGTTAAAATCTACTTAGATAATGACAACTTTAAGTTAATGTTGTATGTTTATAATTTATATAATTTATCAGAACAAAAATGCATTTTCCCTGCAGACATGAACTAATTTACTTTCTTTTCACGTCGTTGATGAATCAGTGAGTTACAGCTCTGGAACCTGTTTGTGATTCAGACGACTTAAAATAATTAAATATAAAGTTTATTACATAAAGTTTATTATATAAAGTTTATTACCCTGAACAAAAGAAGCGGAACCATCAGGTCGAGACAGTAAAGTCTGTTCACAGCCAAACTCTCTGAGAGAAACAGATGAAACGGARCCCTCCATCCTGCTTTCTGCGCGGTGGGAAAAATGTGTTTGTTTGGTCGCAGGAGAGTGACGTCACCAGTTCACTCAAACGCGCTGCGCGACGAACCACGTGACACAGCCTGTGTGTGTTAAATTAATAGAGTTATTGTTTTTTGCTTTTTTTTAAACAATTTTTTTATTGAACAAAAACATTAACAAAAAGAAAATAATAAATCAGTGACTTACATTTGTATTTAGACCACAATTCCGTTAAGAAC